CAATCTCCCCCGGTCGGACAACTTCATCAATCACCTCCCCATTACTGCCCGGTCTTCATGGTCATCAGCCTCAGTCAACATCATCAGCCAGCACCTCCACCACCAGTGTCTGGACCCCACGGGAGGATAGATTTGTTCTGCTTAAGGTTGACACTCTTTGATCACCTGAACTCCCTGAAGAGTCCACGCACCAAGAAACACCATATTTCAAAATCACGAATCTCTGTGATGTTCATCTTCACCACTTCAACTTGTCTCTCCTTGTTGAAATCATTGTTACTGATTATTGACTGACATTACACCCTGTGCGCTAACCGTGTCACAAGTTCAACTGAACAATTAAACATCAAAGGTCCAAAAGGTTGGTGTAAGTCCACAGCAGAGCAGATTCAGAGCATGTAACTGGATAAGAATGATGAAAAAGGTGGTGGGATGTTCCTGTACTCACTTCTCTCTATATCAGTTTTCTGTCGATACTGCAGATACGCTCAGTTACTCATCATGATGATACAAAGATATTCCTTCAAAATGACACATTAGAGGGTTGATCAAAGTAAGTGTCTGTGCAGCTGCATGAAATCTACATCTGCAAAATGAGCCACTAGCACCCTGAAGAGAGATTATGAAAACAGGTCATTTTTTGTTTACATTCAGTACTCATCAGCCTCCTTATCTATACCTGCATATATATCTGCTTTCCTGCCTGTCTCCTGTCCCAAAACCCTTCACTGTAAGTCTGTTTATGACCTACTTTCCGTTCCTAAAATGCATCCCTCCTTTGCTTCATTGAACTGTCTTGTTTGTTCGAACTGCTCTTCTGTTGCCTAAATATAAGCCCGTCCTTTGGCCCTTATGACTCACCCTTTTTCCTACATCACACTTATGTTGGTCTGAGAAGGAGTTTTACCAAAAGACAGAATATTTTTATCACGAGTTTATTTTGTCAACACTCAGGATGCCTAAAATGAGCTGTGTGTGGAGAGAGGTAAAGCTCTAGACCAATCTGCTCTCTACTTTTCTGTTTTTCTGGCAGCCTGCTACAGTCACACCTCACCAAAAATAATGTGTGTGTTCGGCTGACCCTTTTATCTCTTAAAATCCTCCCTGAGAAAGTCAGACAGAGTCTTTTCCTGATGGACTGTTTTGTGTTTGGGATTTTATATATAGTGCTTTTTGTCTTCTCCCTTTTTCCTCCTCTTATCCCTGTCAGAGAGCGCTTGATTGTGTTTCCTCAGCCTTTTTTTAATCTCCCAGGAAAGAGATGGAAGACTTCGGATGTGCTTTTTCCCTGCACACGGCATTAGACACTAGAGGCAATCTGTCAACTCAATCCCCACCAACCAGTGTGAGTGCTCACATTTGTTCTTAAACATGCGCACACTGTCACTATTGAAGTGTGTGAGGCCACGCAGGGTGGTCTCCATCTCTTTTCACGCCTCTGTGCATTTCTCTGCTTGCGAGGCTGCTTCGCTTCCTGAAACATCAGTGCGGTGTCCGCCAGTGAGAACTATGAATTTACTGCTGCTGTTAAGTGTGTTTGACAGGGCAGAGGGGTTAGATCATTACACAACTCTACAGAGGGGACATGATATTAATGTAACCCCAACAAGATCTAAAGTCAAAAATATCTCAGATGAAAAGTCACACACACACAGCGACAGCAGCTATATTTCCCCTCTGGGCTACAGATAACAGCATGGGTGGATGGCTACTCTTGAGAGACTCAGGACCAGGAAATCAATCCATTGACCAGTATAATGAGGACTGTTTTGTCTATACATAGGATGGCTGGTCAACCAAGAGAGCAAAACCATCCCTAAAACACACACTGAACTGGTAAGTGCTAACAGCTAAGATCTCTCTGGTCTGCACAGTTTATGCCATGATGGAGCCTTTTGTTGTTTTGAAGTAAACATCCATGATAATGGAAAGTTCATTCACTGTCCTGATTTGTGTTTCTGGGTCTCTGTAGGAGTTGGATTTGTAAACCACCGAGCTGTCAATCATACGTTAAACTAATAATCAAAGCTAAACTTCTCGAAAATGCGTTTTTAGGCAAGAGTAACCCAGGATTTCCACCGCATCCGTAATGGCTCTGATCTGGAACGGCGATGATTTTAGCCGTACGCCAATTCCTACCGGATCCGTCTGTGAGATGAATTTCATGGCGGATTACGGACAGCAGTTATCACGAGAAATCACAAGAACCCCAGGAATCACATGCAATGGCGGGATAACGAGTTGTCTCTCAGCCACAGAGGCTAACCATAAAAGCAGTAGACTGTGTCCTTCCACAGGAGGAAATCCACCTCTAGACGTTTAGAATCAGCATCTCCTCATCCATGGTCTCATCGGGGTGAAATGCTGTCTAAAAACCTTTCACTTGTTCGTTTCCACCCGTTTGCATGGTGTGAAATACGATCCACCAGAAACACTGCATTTTATTTTGAAAAGATGTTTTATTTTGTGTCTGTGCCCGACTTCCTTTCCAGCCCGGGTTAATCTGTGCTGAATTTATCCGGCATGCTGCAGCGTCTGGAGAAAAACGAACTCTTGCGATCAGCTGCAGAGTCCGGTGATCCGCAATGGAACAGAAATTAGCCGGTGGAAATTGACATATTAACTGGAATGGTTACAATCAGCTTTGATCAAACAGCTACCTTTTCTTAGCCATTCCGAATGCGGTGGAAATTGGGGGTTAGCATGACAAACACAAATTTTGACTGCTACTATTTGTTAACATGCAGGTGGAGTTTATAACTGTCACTGCAGCAGGTCAGCGTTTTCAATAAAGAGGGGTATCATGCATTTTTTTTAAGACTCTATATTTCCTTTCTGATACTGCTTTAATAGCTTTATGTGATTTTTAGATTTAAAAAAGCCTCAAATTTGTCATGATGATGAATTAAAATATCACGATATTTTTAGCTGCTGTCTCTTTCAGGCCTACTTTCGTCTGAATGGCCACTTCTCCGGGGGATTTCCAGAAGCTGGCTGAGGGCAGATATAAACATATTTATACGCTATTGGAGCCATTTTTTACACCAGAATTTTAGTCAATCTTGCTCATAAACTACAGTCTTGCATTTTCGCGCATTTGTCAGATATTTGAGAAGTTAACAAATTTTCTGAGATCATGACAACGTAAGTATACCTTGTGATATGAAACTTTGCACATATGTATATGGACACCAAACTTTGTAACTTTGCAATTTATGTTGTAAATGTGGAAAAACATAATAACCCCCTCTGTGATTCCTTCCTAAGTGATAACTACTTGGATAAAAAGCAAAAGAGGCATTAAGATAATACGTTAAAGGTATTTCCTTAATGGAAAACCAGAGTTTGTGTTGCTTAAATGGTCTGGTGTGAAATGCAAATGACTCTAATCCTCATAGAAATCATCTTTATTCTCTGTTTAGTATTTTTTATTATCTTTAGCTGAGGGCTGCTCTGTTGGTATTTTTGGAGGCATCATGCTCCATAAATCAGTGGCTGTTATCTCCTGTAAATGTGCTGCCAGGCATCCTGATGGTGTGCCTCTGTTCTATTTATTTATACTGTACCATACCTTATCATCTAGCAGTGTGTGTGTGTGTGATTTATGACATATTGTTACTCCTTTGAGGATGCAAACGCGGATATCTACAAAATGCTATTTTTAAGTATTCAGGACGAGGATCACAAATCCATATGGTTACATTTTTAGTGCAGATAAATCTTATTATATAATCCCTCACCCTGCTAAATAAACCTCGAGTTCATAAATGACGTTTATACTTGCTGCATTATTCACATCAATCCATCACATGGAGGTTATAGCCCCCTACTGTGCATACGTCTCTGTGTCTCTGTCAAGAAAGGTTGGTTTAATGACAAAGACTTTAATATTCAAAGTGTTTGTTAGTGTGAGAGCATGTGTTAAGATGCAAACCTCTCCCTCTTCATGCCTTGACTCAGTCATTTATTTTTCAACACGCTGTCCTGTGATAGATTTACTGCCTTTTGTGTAAACCTCTGTGTGTTTGTCAGCACAGCTACATTAAGTCGTCAAGGTTTATAGATGTGAGGCTTGTAAGGAGAGTTAAGACGAGCTGTATTCCTTGGCTGGTGCGTATGACTGACAGCTTAGACAGTGCTCTATGCATGCTTAATGACATGTCTGATTATAAAGAGTCAGTGCTCAAGAAAACAGCGTTAATATTTCATTTGGTTGCCTCTAGTCTGTGTTATTAGTGTAAAGAAACACAAGCACAGGTCCGTCTGAAAGCACTTTGTTCATTTTAGTGCCGATGAGTCTACACAGAGAAGTCACAGGATGGCATTACAATGAGAAGCCTTTTTAAAGATCGCCATGATTTTTTAAGGGCGCCCAGCCTCCCAAGGGGAAAATCCTCCTTTATTTGATAAATCCATCTACGCTGATGTCTCTCCTGTAAGGACTTTCTATTTGATGCTGGGTTACTGTATTTGTGTCCTAACAGATTAATCTTCAACACACAAGATCAATATTCAATGAGATACCGTTTAGACATGACAGGCTGGTCCATCCCTGTAAAAGCATCTCTGAAGTCTGTCAATAAATTTAATCTGATTTATAATAGTCCTGAAAATCAGTCGGCTTCATATCATGTGATTTAACTTACATTTTGTTGCATGTTTGAAAGAAAATTGAATGACATTAATGACACATTTTATTTCTGTCACTTTGTGAGCAGAAAGGTAGATTAGGGAGCAAGTTACAGTGTAATTATGATCCTGATCAATAATACAAACATAATAAATACCAGACCATGACAGCTACAGATTGTATTGATCTGGAGGTCTGTGTAACTCAGAGAATTAAATCACAAGCCTTAACCACATCAACATGATTGACCTGCAAGATTGTGTGTGTGTGTGTGTGTGTGTGTGTGTGTGTGTGTGTGTGTGTGTGTGTGTGTGTGTGTGTGTGTGTGTGTGTGTGTGTGTGTGTGTGTGTGTGTTTAAGAGGTTAAAGAGGTCAGCTCTCATGCACATGTCAAGATATTAAGCAGAGTCTGCCTAAAGGCTTTAACCTTTTAACATGGCCGCGAGCATTTCTCTCTCAATCTTTATTTTTACATCTATTTCACTTTTGGGGACAGCATATTAAAGGCACAGTGTGAGGTTTTTAGTGCCATTGAGCAAAATGCATGTGTTCATATTTAGTAAGTGGCCGGTCTGGAGACTAATGTTATAACTTGGCTTGTGGGCCATGACAAAAAGATGGTAGGAACCAACAGTGCCAAAAATAAATAAGATATTTATTATGAATTCAGATGAATAAACAGACGAACCATAATTAAGTATGAGGTGTGGCGCATCTGTAAAATTAGTAGTGTGCATGTGGGTGTGTGAGCATGGTGGAGTGAGGAGTGTTGAAGAGTGCACCAACACAAGATCCAATGAAGGCTAGGTGTGAAGCTAGTCAGGCATGAAGAGCATAAGGGCATAAGAGAGCCACATCAGAGCCAATCAGCTCATCAGGCACCTTAGAAGAAACACATACGAATTAGTGTACCCATCAGCACAACATAGAGGCAGGGGAGCAGTGCTGGAATCTGAAAGGTAGATATTCCTAAATAGTCCCATCTCTAGGCGCTGTACCTTTAAGGCTTTAAGCTGAATAATATGTGTTACTGTTAGCACAAATGCTCATATTGCACAAAATTGTCTACAAAGTTTCGGAATTGTAAGTTTGGTGTGTTTGCCTCTCTCAGAATCAACTACACTTGATAGTCAAGAAAATTTTCTTTAGAGAGCACAGATTGACTTTTTTTTGTATTTATTCATTTGTCCAGAGTCCAGGTCCAGTTTAACCTTTTGGCTGGTAGCTCAGAAAGGCAGAAAGGGATGAGATCCTGTGGTCTGTGATTTGAAGAGCCCTTTGTTTTCTGTACAACAAACCAGAAAAAGTTCTGTGCGAAGGGAGAGAAAGTTTAGTGCAGAGGACAACAGATGTCTTGAAAATGATGGAACAAAGAAAAGGTTAATCACCCCCGTGGGCTTGTTTCGTATCACTTGACAAACAGAGAGCCCGTTGGCGAGAGGCAATGACTTATCCTCTTCGACCTCTTAACAAGTTTCTGTAGTTTAATCTGTTTGGACTCAAAACTTTGATCTCTCAGTGTGAGAAAAAAAGTAACCAACTGCACTGTCCTTTTATTACTTTTAGAGAGTTGAAAACTCCCGTTGAATTTTTCGATTTTTTATGACCAGGAGGAAAACAGTGGCCTTCAGTTTTCACTTGGTCATAATTTAATTTTACACTCCTAAAAATAGATTTAGAGGGAAATTACTTTAGTGACCTTCTGAATTGCACTACATGAGTAATGAAGTATTTCTTTACCCTGTGTATAATGTCAGGCTCCATAAATGGTCTCTGCTGCACAAATGAACTGTCTTATTCCTTATTTAAAGCTGACAGCATGTTGCTGGTTTGATTACAAAATTGTCCGCCCTTGTGTGAAACATTGTACCCAAGCTGAAATTTGGAGTGGAGCTTTAAAGACTGAATAAAAGCATCTACCTTGATGTTATAAATCAGACTTTTCCAACTTTAATTGCACCTTAAACAAAGATATTTATTTGTACTGTAACCTTGAGGCTTTCACTTCTGCACATTCAAAGAACTGTTAGCAAAAAAAATTCAATTCCCCGAAACACAGCTTCGCTTCATGAATGCAAACCCAAACCATAAAGTGACGGCCAACCTCTACAGCTATTATCAGCAGAAATATTCTTCTACTACTCATCTCATAATCTGGGTAATTTCATGCATAACTAAACCACTGTGTCACAGAGCACTGTGATATTGAATGCATATTAAGCAGATATCATTATCATCACTGGGCATCAGCCATTAGTTTGATGTCAATGTGTTGGCTCACCAATCTTCAAATGCTTTTTTTTTCTGATTGATTGAACCACCAAACCTAAATGAAAGTAAATAAATCAGCCAATAGAAAACCACTTAACTGTGATTCTCTTTAGCTTTCAAACGCAATGATCCTGAGATTTTCAAGCAACCTCTTCACAACTTAAAACAACTGCTTTCTAATGTCATTATCTCAGACCAATTGTACCTGCAAAGAGTAATAAGTGCATGTGTAATGGTGTGTGGGTTATTCATCTGCTACTTAAACACATTCTAATGAATCTCCTTGAAGTGGAGGGTGATGAAATCCTGTATCTATTAACTTACAATCACCTGCATTCATACAGCATGTTCACTCTGTTGTTCATAATCGACCATAATGACCTCTAAAACAACTTTACATCTTTTTAGTGTTTGTGCAAGCACCCTTACTAACAGATTACAATACATACAGCATAAAGATTAATGGCTGTTCACTGGTTTGCTAATTTCTAGGGTTCACACAATCATCTACTGAGTGCATTAACATGCAACCTACATATTCAAGGCACCCAAGCATGATGTTTACAAATCAGCACACCAGAAAACTGTTTGTTCTGTTTAATCAGAACTGAGTGAGTTGAATACAAAATATGACAGACAAGCTCAGATTTGGTGAAATGAAATGGCATGTTAATCGTTTCCGTCATGTTTTAAAATTATGACCGATTAATTGCCCTGCTGTGTTACTTATCACCCAGCTGTGTTAAATACTTAATCTTGATTGTTCAAAAAGACACACAAAAAAAAACAATGATTAATAATTCAGAAGAGCAAGAAAAAACACCTCCAGGGACCTCCAGATCAAACATGATTTGACCTCTTCCTGTACAACCAATGTACTGTATATGGGTATAAAACAGCTTATAACGGTGGCTAATGGCTGACCAGCTAACAGCAGAAAAGAGAAGATTAAAGAAAGAAATAGCTGGGAAGCTGGGTAGGGCTTGCATTGTGTTGAGATTCTAGTGCCAAAAAGCAGACATATTTACAATAGATTTTAATGATAATGACAATGCTGATGTGCAGAGTGATAATTATAATGTTGCCTTGATTTATTAGCATGCAATCATTTGCTAACCAGGTCAAAACACAAGCTACAGCTTAGGCTAATGGGGATGCTTTCAGTTTTGAAGGTCATTGATTATAAACGCAAGTACTGCTGGCCCAATTGTAGGACTACCCATTTCAATACAATACAAGAACTTTATTTATCCCTGAAGGAAAATTCATTTGTCTGGAATCTCAGATAAACTGCAGATAAACCAAGTTAAGATCTGACCTGCTCAGTGGTGGTAAGGCAGTAGCTCTCTAGGCTTCTCTGATGTTGGTATACAGCAGATCCAGGGTTTTGTTTTCTCTGGTAGGACAGTTGACAAGCTGTGTAAATCCAGTCAGGTGAGAGAAAAGGGTGACATGGTTAAAGTCTCTTGATATATTATTACGTGTCTCAGGATGTTGAGTCTGTATCCTAGCAACAGTATTATGAATAAAATCACATGGAATTTCAGCCGTTGCCTTGGGTGGGAGGTATACAAGTGCTGTTATGATATGACTGAACTCCACTGAAGTCCTACCCTGGTAACAAGAAGACTCCCCATTTCTAAAAATCACTTTTTGAGGACTTTTTTTTTTCTTTTTTTATAAAGAAAATAATTATTGTTGACAATAATGATTAAACACATTGAATATCTTTAGATATGGAATTTTCACATTTAGGCTGATTGGCATAAAACACGATTGTATATAGATGATGCACTGATTGCATCAGTATTCTCTAATAATCAAAACAACCTGCAGACTATTGAAAAGTCGGATATTTGTTTGATCTGTTTCATAATGACATACTCTCACCTGCCTTTTTTGACCGTCCTCTAATGCTTGCCATCTTTGGACATTTAACTTTAGGGTATCATACTGGATCTCTTAGCTGTTTGATGTATCTGCCACATACACTACCCTTTATTAAAGACAGGCATCCTAACTTTGTCTCAGTTGTCTCTCACTTGGGTGCAACTATGTTCAGCACGTCTCTTGGTCATTCATCACCTGTAGCAGTGACGCACGGTAAAAAATGAGCACACTCACTTTACAGAGAAGTGGTTCTGTCTATTGTTACAAAAATTCAGAATTAACTTCTAAATCCTGAATTCGAGGCACTTGGGGGGTATTGCAGCCTTTGTCAAGATTTGACAGGGAATATGGGAAGCAGAGAGCAGGGTTACAATATGTAGAAAAAGGTCACGGCACAGTACGACAAGCAGCACCCCAAACGAGTTAAATTTCACCTGTTGATGGCTTTGGGATTTATAGACTACAAGTTGACTTCTTCAATCACCAGTCACTGCTGTGGACGGCTGTCAACTAGTCATGTAGTCAATACCACAAGGGAAGGGGGCTGACCTTGGCTCTCATGTACAGCTGAAGGTTTAATTATTTATTTGATGGTTGATTTGACAGGAACAAATACATGAGGCATTGCTTCACAGTGTATACACAGTGGATGCCATGCATACACTTTTCTAACCATGGCTAATTTTCGGCCCCAGTCCCCCGGTAGACTTCTATTCATAAAAACAGAAATTATGGAGTATTCAAAATAAAATACTATTTGCTACTAGAGGTCCTCTGTTAAATGAAAGGTTTTCTTGCCTCTGTGTCCTGATGCCCGCTCATTTGTGGATTTACTCTTGGTCACAGTCAATAATAACACAAAGTACAGTCTTCAAACAGTCTTTGTGATGAGGCAGTCTTATGGTTTATGATGCACTTCAACCATAACCATAACAATGACAGTAGAAAGTTATCAGTGAGTACCTCATGTTCATCTATGAGCAAGAGTATATTTCTTTTATTGGTAATATTATGAGAAGATGAGGCTGCGCATGTTGGCCACCTACTCACAATGTCTTCGCTCTCAGGAGTGAGCCAATATAAGAAGCATGAAGGGAAATCTACATTTTACTGAACCCCATCTCAAATTGCTGCAATTAATTGCATTCACAAAGTGGAACAGATGCTGAGAAGTGGTCGCAGCACAATCATCTCATCACGCACAGAGCCCTTCACTCTTTTCCTCTCCTATTCATTTACATGGACGACACGTCTTCTATGTGTTGTCATTAAGCTTACTTCAATATGAGTCACGATTCTGCGGAGGTAATTTTTCAACTCTCTGCCCTCGTTATGAGACAGTTGGACACAAAGTTCACTTAACACCGATAGTTTTACAGCTGCGGAGTGTTTAGAGCAACACAAAGCTAATATCCTCGCCTCATGCATTCACGTAGGTGGAGGCAGATACAGTGTAGTGGGCCTAATGAGATAAACATAACCCCTCTGTCAGATAAGTGCTGTTCATATTAGTAAATACAGGCGAAATTGGGATGTAAAAAACTGGCTTTTTTGATGAATTTTCATGCCAGGAAGCAGACGGATATTTGGGGTCTTTTGGGCACCGAGTTGTTAAAGTTTTCATGAGTTTAGATAACAAACCGTTGGAGTAATTACAAATCAGAGCAGACCAGGAGGGGGCTGGAAATCTACAGCCAGCAGTAAGATGGCAAGAGGTAAAATATGGAGCAGCTGATAGGGAGGAGAAACTCCTTGGGGAAACCTCAGTCAAGCGCTTGCAGAAGGTCCTGAGATACAAAGATATGAGGTCTGTAAATCTGCTGACTGGAGGCTGAAAAAGGAAGAGGAGAAAATAATAGGAGATACTGTAATTTAAAGAGTCTTACTCGGTTTCTTCCTTTTACGGTTATACAAACTAGATTGACTTCTTGTTTTCTTCCAGCAAATCCATTTTCAACAGAGACACCATATATGATCCCTGAGATTATGTTTTGGGTACGTAAACACAACGGCACCAAGAATTCAAGTTGATATCTAATTTCAGCAGACCAGGTACTTTTAGTAGGCAGTGGGGTAAACAGTTACTGAGCTCCTATTTTTTTAATTGGGGGAGAAAAATGTTTGAAAAATGATGGAAATTTAATGACTTGGTCCTATTTCAAAAGAGGACCTGTGAGTTAAAATTTAAACTGTTGATGAAAACAGGCTGTTGAGCACATCTTTCAATAAACACGTCGTGAATATGCATGACTTTAACTCTGATTCTTGTGGGTTAAAATCTCGAAGTTTTCACATTCACAGTCTGTTCTGTCCTCCAGCATCTCATTTGACCCAGTTCTGCAGAGAGAAAAGGTGAAGACGCTTCAAAAACTTAAAGCTGCAAGTGGATTTCAGTCAAGGGGCAGATCCAGGCTTTGTTCCCTGGGGTTGCCAAACCGCGACATAGATTTGTCGAGGTGACCAGGTGTGGGACACCGTAGGAGCTTTACCCCCAAACCTCAGATGGTTATTACTATTTACTTTAAAGAAACTATGTGTAATTCAGATACCTAAATGTCTGACGATATCATAAGTCCTGAGCCACCCTTATCCACCCCACTGCTTCAATCCAGTTTCGAGTTTGCCAATTCTGCACCTCAGGTAATCAGTTTTCCACCTATGGTGTGGGAATGTTTGTGTTGTGGATGAGGACCCTGTGGGCATGTAGCAGATAAATTGTCCAGAAACATAGATCATGAGATTATTCTATGAGTGAGTGACTCCTGAGGACCGCATTAACAAGAGCCATCGATGCCACCGCTCCAATAATGAGCGTGTCAGCATCATCACGGTGGATAAATGAGTCAGTAATGGAGTGAAGGAACATGGCCCTTCTCCTTACACTGAGGACACAAGGCATCAAGGGCAATAAGATGTTTTCATTGACCTCCTTTTTTTTACAATGAGAAAAGTCACTCTGACCTTCTTCCTAGTCTTTCCCGAACTGAACACTGTGTAGAAGCAGAAATACATTTTCCTGAGAGGTTCTTTTTAAAACAGCTGATTTGACACAGTTCTTTGACACCTCTCAGCCGTGTGATTAATGATTTATTGTGTAAGAAGCGAGCCCTCTACTTTACAGGAACAGCAGCTGTGGTCAGCTCGAAATCCTGTCGGACAAAGTGAGATGTGTTTAAAGAGCTTCTCAAACCACTCAACATGAGACACTTCTATACTGTATTTCCTGGATATATACTCAGTCTTGTACCTCTGTTTGACTCATGAAGAACTTTTTTCCAATCTTTGTGCAAAGCTAGACTTTTTATTCATCTTTTAGACACAACAGAGGTATAAGTGCTGTGATTTACCTCTCTATTTGCAAACACACTCTCATGACTATCATCACCTAAGTGGTTAAAGGTATATGTCAGGTGTTCATCTGTGTATTGATGTCAGACAAAAAGTCTAACACGGAGATTAAAGCTGATAAACTCATTATCGCTTGTGCTCGTCGCCTTTGATTTCTGGCCTGAGGGTGCAGGAGTCAAATCCAGCAGAGTGAGTTAAGATGCAGCAGAGACCAGGAGCCATAAATCAAAAAGGGGTTTCATCCTCAACTTTTGAGAGAACTTTGACAGAGCTGTGAGGGGTGCATGTCAACATCAAACCAGGTAAACTTTTGAAACTGCTTTTTGAATACTAAGTGCTCGTTTTTAAGGCAATTCATGAAACTTACAAGGTAAAGTTAGAGAAAAAGTATTTTAATGTCATAAAATAAAGGGACAATCTGTCACACTATTTACGGTAATAGATCTGTTAGTTTATTTTATTACAATATGTCAATGTTTAAAGAAGTGAGACAACTTTATTCGGTAATGGCATCTCAAAATGATGCACTACTCTCTCTGGGAGGTGAATGGGTACTTCTTCTAAGTGTAGGATCTCAGTATCTTTACAAGTTAACAAATACATTGTGGGTAAAATTCATAGAGATAGAGAGACATATCTATGTGGCTTCAGCAATAATGCAATGTTGCACTGGACCATTGGGGTGAGGAGGGAGCTAAGCCTGAAGGCAAAGCTTTCGATTGAGCAGTCAATCCACGTACTGACACACACCTGTGATCATGGGCTGTGGGTAGTGACCGAAAGAATGACATTGTGGATCCACGTGGCTGAAATGGGTTTCCTTTTAAGGGTGGATGAGCTCAGCCTTGGAGATCAGAACAGAGGCTTAAATATTCAGGGGAAGCTTAGAGGAGAGTTTCCACCCCTTTGCATCAAGAGAAACCATTCCAGGTGATCGGAGTCTGTGTGCCTCTCTTTGGGGGTATGTCACACTAGAAGGCATGGGGACACCTCCGTTACTGGACGAAGGGATGTTTTGGGCAACTTCGCCTGCTGCTACTGTGACCCAGGGTTAAAAAGCCTGAAGGACGGTATGATATACTGTGTTATTATGAAGCTGTCTCTTTTTGCCTGTTGGTCTGTCCCTCAGAAAGGAAAAGGAATGTGGGGCCAATGTTTCCTACATAATGTAGTGACAGTTTCAGTTGTAGGTGAATTTGAGGTCGGTCTATATTTCATAATGAGAAATAAGAAACTTTGGCAGCTACTGTGCTGAACAGAAAAGCACCAGGAGCTGACTCAGGGCCCAGGGGATCAGGAGGCCTTGGTACAGGGTCATTTTTAATGTTTTTTTTTATAAAAAGTCGATAAAAAACTACAAAGACACAAACATAACCACAGAGAAATGTGAAATAACAAAAAACTATTCAATAAAAGATGTAAATTTACTATGGTAGGACTGAAAATGCGCATGGAGTTGTGCTTAACCACCCAAAGGTGACAGAAAGTAAAAGAAAAAAACAGACACAAAACCACCATGCACTTGCAAACCAACCACAAACAGAAGATAACTATAATAAGAAATGCAAAAATGACTACATAACCATGTAGGCGTAATGGAAGACACCAAAGAGAGAAAAAAAGATAACAAGAGGCAGAAAATGCCACACAGAGAAGCAAAACAACCACAGAGAGTAACTACGCAACTGCACAAAGATGCAAAATGACCACAATAAGACACTAAGAGGCCCAGAGCAACCAAAAAATGTTGCTAAATAGCCCCACAAAAACTCCACATAACACATAATGGTGGAAAATTAAGGTAAAGAACCACAATAAGACAAGAGACGAAAAAAAATGTTTCCTTTTATGATCAGGTGCCAAACTCAACTGCAACAGATCAGATGGACTTCCTGAAAAACTGCTTATTCTCACTTGTCGTCACTTAGTCCTGTTTTCATCCTGTCATTGGTTTTCTCTTACAATTTCAAAGGGCGATGTGAGCTTCCATTTGGCTTCCTCGATTTTCACTTTCCTCACTTCTCCGCAGTCAGAATTTCAATGTCTCCGCATGGCTGACCCCTTCTTCTCAGCAAGCTTGTGTTGGTAATAGAACGCTACATTAGGGCCAGCCCTTGGACTCTGCCTTCTACGTGAAGCAAGATACCCCTGTCACTTCTCCTGAAACACCTGCACATCACAGAAAGGAGGGAGGAGAGGAGATGAAAAGAAGGAGATGGTGGAGATGGGTTTGTGTTCCTGAATGACTTGTTGATCAAATACAAGAACCCGTCTTGTGGCAGGTGCATTGGGTAAAATACAGCAGCTCTTATAGTGATGGGGTTTCAGGCAGCCTTTCATTCAGAGAAGGCAAGAAAACGAAAATAAACGTCAGGAACAAAGACTGCAGCATCTAAAATAATCGTGAAAAGCAATGGATGCTGGAGCAGATCTACTCTGGATGATGAATGGACTGAAAAGAGGCTCCTGAAGATCTCTTTCCAGTCTTTTTCACAAGCACAGACCCAAAAACTATTAGGATTTTTCCTTTTCTAATCCAGACTCTATATTTTTTCTACAAATTGTCAAATAATCTTCACACGATTGTGTCCGTTCATCCATTCGTCTTATTGTCAACTTGTCACCCGACTGTATTTGTGTGCCCTTGAGCCTGAGCATGTGCGTCGTCTTATTCCAGTTTAACGCTAACAGGCACTCGCAGATTAAGAAAATTGTATTGGAACAATACTCATAATAGACTTTAGCTGTGTGCTGCCAGTGGGGTGACACCCCTATTATACAGACAAGTGGAGCACGGCGTAGGGCTGTGTCAGCATGATAAAACCGCTTAGAGGTACAGGCCTGACAGCAGGAACAGCAAAGGGGTGCCATCCACGGAGCTCCGCCATGCAAATGTGATTGCTGGAGTAGAGCAGGTAGAGAAAAGGAAGTATTTATTTATTGAGACGATGAAACTTTGCTATGAAAGTACCTCCTTTTACCAATGTCAGACATTGGCCTTGAAAATAAACAACTTCACTTCATAACCAGAAACCAGACCCACTTCTGACACTCAAATCGCTTACAGAGGCAGCTTTAGAGGGTAAATAAGATAATTGTTGTAGTTGGTTTGTTTACTCAGTTTGAGCTTTAATTCATTAATAAAGTGGTTGAAGAAGATTTAAGCTGCAGTCCGAAGACCCTGATTGATATTGATGCTTGAGAAAATTGATGATCTCCTCACAGTATGAATTCCTGTACAACTTCCTCTAACATGTCCTTACGCTAAACATTACATGCGTCCTCATCCATAGCTCACATCATTCTTATTGTTGTAAACAGAAAGGGTGATTTTGATTTGTTAGCTCTATCAGCGTCCCTTAGTTCCTTTATTAAACAGCATTTCAGCCTCAACCCCTGTCAGTGTGATTTTAAAGACAGGACTCTTTCCTGATTGGTCAATACTCCATAGCAATGGTCTGCTATTTCTCCATAGTAAAATGTTGCTATGGAGATCAATTCTCACTCTACATGTCAAATCAAATCGATTGACCAAGAGGTTTTCTAAACATTTTGGGTCTGCCTGTTGACACCGTGGCAAAAATTGGAGTTTTATCTCACTTCCCCTAATGCTATTCTTTTTTACAGGTATGAACAGAAGAGCGCTCTAGTCTCCCATGGATTCTGTGTCACTGAATGCATCACAGAAGCCGTAAAGCTGTTAAGTCAGAGCGTTTATAGTCTTGTTTTGATACATGGACATAAAAATAGTTCTGCTAGTCTTTAGTATGATTCAGGTGCTCAGTTCTTATGAGAGTATGGGGGGAGAAAGACCCATCGTGAAGATGCTTGTTGCTTTACATGATCCTGAGTCCGATCAGAAAGTAGAAAAGATTGAAGTTGATCCCCATAAGAACAAATCTCCACATCTCACCGCACAAGCAAGAATGTGTGAGATATTTTTCAGGAGCAGTAGCATCCAAATTAAATTAGTAGCAGTAAAATATCTGCATCAAACAAATAATGGAGGAGTAGCCCTGAGCATGAAATTTATCACATACCAAATTCACATTTGTTTACATTCACTGCAATAAGCCATAGGTGTCTGTGTGGGCACGTATGCATTTGGAAATACATATATTAAGGGGTCTGTATTTGTCACAGGCCATCCAGTGTATTTGTGCTGTCCCTCTTAGGCTTCTTGGCACTGCTTCACCTCAAATGCTATCAACTCCCTCTGAGCACAGCTATTTGTCATTTGTAAGATTTCCACAGGGTGTTTTCTTTCTACTTTTTAATCAAGGCTTGGATCCCATGCTGAGAGGCCTATTCAGCTATGAAACAAGGCCCTGTCATCCCCGGCTAACGACAGGCATCTGTAGCAGAGAGAGACGCTCCCAGACAAATGAGCTCCTCTCTCTCTCTCTCTCCCTCACACACGCACACACAAACACATGCAAGCTTGTACAAGATGAACACAAGGGAAGAGGAACGATGCTAGATAGACAAACACTATAACTATCTAAATGGAGTAGCCTGTCATGTGCTGAACAGCAGGCTTTTAAACACAGTAGTTTGCTAATGTAAATATTTGTCTTGTGCTGCAGCAAAGGATTAATGACTGTAGTTTACTCTGTTCAGTCCAGACAGTAATTTAACGAGCACTAAAATGCCCAGTTAATTCAAAATTGGCCTCATGATCTTTCTTTTTTGTTAACAATCCAATCCATGTAAAGTCTAAAAGTATATTAAATAGTTTTTCAGACAGTGAACAGCTCAAATATTAATTGTATAAAAAGATAAAACATAAAAATGCATATTAAAATGAGCAAAAGTCCAGATTTTTTCACTCCACTAAACTTCGGCAATAGTAATTTTAGCGCTCAGTTTTTGAGGGAAAAAGGCAGGTTATCTTTAAGTCCCACTCTGATTGTTTTTTTTATTTTTTATTATTACTGTGTTATTAGTGGCTAAAAGTTTTTAGCCAAAATCATGTTACTTGTGTCATTTTCAAGGGCCTTTCTTCTGCAGAGCTCCAGTAGCTCATTAGCAATGCCCCTCTGAACCGTGGGCAGAGACAGCGCTGCTCTGCACACTTCTCCTCGAGTTAGCTTGCAGCCTAACATTGCCGGTGTAGTAGAAGAAACAGGTAACATAGGAGCTATTCAGCTCTCTGACACTAATGTCTTTAGGGGCATGATGAAAGCTAATATAAGAATTAGCTTTCTTAGGAGGATTTCAATCCACCAACGCAGACGCTTGTTCCGTGATCGTCTTCTCTATTTCTCCAAGCCTGGCCTGCATAGCGAGGGCTACGGGGCGGAGCTTGGATTGGTTACATAGGAAATCTCACTGTATCTGGTCCTGCCGTTTGGGTCTGCCAGAGATTCACAGCGATTTGAATAAGGAAATACTAAGAAAAGCAATTTTGCACTTACTTTTCTCATGATACATCCTGTAGAATTAGAAAAATGTCATATGAACACGTAGACTATAAGAGAAACATGATTTTCTTCTAAATAGGTCTTTAAATTCCCATTAAAAGCACCTGAGTGGAGTTTTTAACTGGCTGTAAAAGAGACAGAAACAATTCTGATATCCTCACCCGATCTATGAGGACAAACAAGTGAAATGCAAAACTTGACAGGCTTTTTGTAGGATGCCACACAGCCCTTCAATATCCTCTGAATTCAGTGAATTTGTAAACTCTTGTATAAAGTTGCTCATCTCCTTGTGTCCACAGATGTACGATTGTTCTGTTGCTGCTTGGTCCCACAATCCATGAAGATATTTGTTAGTGGATAACTTTCAGTCAGTTCAGCAGAACCACAAATCCTGAAATCTTTGGGCTTTAAGTCTGCACTGAGGCTGGTCAGAGAAGCTGTCTGGAGCTGAGTCTGAGGGATGAAGAGGGAGTGAGTTTAGTGATCAGCGGGCAGGAGTTATTTACTGCGGGTGGACAAGAGAGCTGTTTGACCATCTCTTTTCAACGAGAGCGTCTCAATATTTCACTAAGTTTTGTGGGCCGTGAGCTGAGTATTCAGCAGAAGTTTGAAATTTATTACACTTGAGAGGAGAAGGAGAAGAAATGGAGTCACCGCTATTCCTCACTGACCGCAGAAATATTGATTGTAATTGATGTGAGGGCTTTCGAGGAGCACAACATATAAAAGATAAGTATGACGCATGAAAATGAGAAAACAGTAGAAACATAACTCATGAAACTGAGAAGAATCTCCCAAACTTTCAGTACAGTGCTTTTTGTTTATATGATGAGGGCTTATGTTTAGATCTGAAAACCTCTTCCACAACATGCTGATCAACAAAAGGAGTAAAAGTTGCAGTTTAAGTATCAGTTATTCACCAAACCTCAGGCTTTTACTAACCATGACTCATTTTTGAACTCTGAAATAAGAAACAGAAGTAAAATGAAAAAAAAATGTAAGCACATTTCAAACCTTAGAGTTATAGAACAAGCACTGACTGTCTATACTCCACCTCACTTTCACTGCAACATTTACTCCAATTTATAAAGCCCTGAAGTGATTGAAAAGAAATCAAAGTAACTAAGGTCAATGCTGCAACCGTGCATGAACGACACTGCACACACACTTGCAAAATGCCTCACAGCTGTTTAAACAAAAGTTCCTATCAACAGCGGTAGAGTCAGCTTTCTGCTCTGTACAGTAATAGACAAACTGCTCTGGAGAGTCAGTCAATAACAACAGCTTTATTTCTTCAAGTCAGTATAAAAGCTCAGTGGACCATTTCCTGTCAGGGCCATATTTTATTCAAAAGGGAAAAAGGGAAAAAGCGAAGTCTCACGCTGGGCACACATGAAAACACAGAAGCCCCCAGGCCACCAAAAACCACCACTTGAATTAGACCCAACTACTATATTTTATTAGTTTCAAAACTGAACTGTTATTTATTTTGTCCTTAATATGCTTTAGGATGACAACCCATTAGTGGTCCTTTAAACATTAGAACATATACCTATACCCACCCAGTCATATTTCACATCTGTTTCCATTAGCTGAGCTGCACCAGTACCTTTCAACGCCAAAGGCACCTGTAAAGTACCTTCTAGGCAGCCCTGTCATTTTGAGTTGGTGTTTATATATTTGTTGTTTTAGGTGTGATGACAAAGCAGAGGTACCCAGTCCAGAGTGGGTTAATGTCATTTATAAGTGCTTGTACGTCCGTATGACAACACTGTATATTCATGACCGGTTCAGTATTGAACAGCATTGTACATTCATTATCCTTCTACACACAGTGCACAGTTAAGGGGTTTATTGAACCAGCCAGCTGCAGTGAAGTGCAACAAAGCGTGGTCACCCAGGTAACAAAGGGCACACTGGGGGTATCCCTCAGGACACTACATATCCAGATAATCATGGTGCACCAATTCAAAAGAGATCGACTTCCGAGAAACCAAGGTTAGTCCTTTAAATGTTAGTATCTGCTTTCACTTGATAGAAAAGTATGTTGAGAGAAAAGAAAGAGCGATGATTAAAACTTGAGATTACTTTTAAAATAAAAGTTTTACTCACTTGGCATAAAGGAAAATGGCCAGTTTTCTGCTGCTAGTAGTTAAAACCTTCTAAAAACCAGGGTCCCCAAATTGGGGGACCGTAGCTAATGCAGAACAATCGCAGAGCCACCACTGCGCTATTTCTGAAAGAATATCGTCATGTAAAATGTCAAATTAAACAGCAGAAGCTGGTCTACAATGTGTAAAAACTATGTTTAAATGACCAAAACATAGCCCAAACACTACTCAAATAAACAACTCAACATGGAACTTTAAGAAGTACCTCTGCATGGACCCAGTCGCCACATTTCTGTCTCGTATACTACTGTACATTATCCAAAACACATCAGCTATTTTTTATTTGAAAGAGCACACCACCAAGATATATAGCACCCATGGCTACACAGAAGCATGGCAGAGAAAGAAGCCAAAAATGACCAAAGTCCAGCAAACACAGACACTGCTTGGCCAAAACATGGCTGTAAATTTCCTCTTACCTTTGCTGTTTTGCTGTGAAAAGTTTTTTTTAATCGGTAAATCCACATATTTTCCTGTTAGTCCTATGTCTTGTGTTATATTCCAGCAAAATCCAACAAAAAAGGCTTGGTTTTTAGACGGTACAGCACTCTAAAATCACTCACTTCAGCACATGGATAGCTGTGGGATCAAACCCCTGACCCTGGACATCTCAGTAAAAACCCTGAATGGTTGTGTTTACAGGGGACATTTTCTTTAACATGACTTCACCCTGCAGGCCCACTGGTACACAGCCTGTGTTTGAACTGAGCAAGTCATTGATATTCACAGCATGAACTGTAAGTGTTGCTGATGATACTGCAGTAAGTGTTTCTATGTTTAGCTCACATGAGGTTATTGATCATTCATATACACTGTGTGTTTGGATATCAACCCAAGAACAGCCATTATTACCCATGATCCCTCTGCTTTCTGCATGATCCACACTTGACCAAACGGAGCATGTCAAACAGGTGAGATCAGAGAAAATGTCAGAGACAGAAAAGTCAGACAAAGTGCAAACTGATTCTGTTATCAGAGTCTGGGTCTGATCTGAGAAAATAAAAGTACAACACCTTTACCAGAGCTGGAGAGCTCTCTGCACTTTAAAGATTTTCCTAATTGAACTGAAGGGACCTTGTATTGAAGTGCTTTCTGGAGCTGTAAGTGGAGTCAGCTGTGAAAACCTACGAGCAGAGTCTGAGCCTGTCTGGGAATCCGGGGGTGCAGTAAAAATGGATGCAGACATACGTTCTGTATTTGCTGGCATCTTCAGAAATATTACAACATACAGCATAAAAACTTTCCTCCACCGCAGTTTCTGGGATTTATGCGGCAGAATTACATCGCTTAAGAAAAGCTGTCTCTTCTTTGTTGTATCTGAAGGCCATTCGCTGAACCTGTACTGGGCTGTGTGCTAGTGTGTGATATGTACACCCCACATCCAACAGGAAATTAAATGACTGCTGATCAGAGGACACCCAGGGGAGAAAAGATGACCGTCTTATTAAAAATGTGTCAGATCCCAAAGGTGCTGGATTCAGAAACTCATCAGACTAAACTAAACCGACATCATGGCAAACACCTTCGGCGTCATCCCAGTCTGGTTTGTAGCGTTTGAGAAAATAGACACTTTTCTTCCTCTTATTAGTGCATCAATTTGTGTTTGACACTGATCTAATCTGATGTGATCTGATCACCCACCAGAGCAGGGGCGATGTCAGCTACACGGGGAGAATCAAGCTTCAAATCCTCATTTCGCTGCTCTTTTAATCAGAGGGCAGTTAGTGTCTGTAAGCAAATTTAGTCAGTCTGTCAGCAGAGATTAATGCAGCCTGGAAACAGCTCCACCACATCTATAATAACTGGACTTTCCTATTTCATGTGCATTTTTTTTTTTAACCAGCTCTATTACAGAGCTGACTTCTTGTACAGTCACCGTGTTGTAAATTAGCCTCATGGGATCTATTCCCCAAAGACAGGGCGAAGCTGCTGTGTGCTGCTTTTTGACAGAGGAGAGAAAGTTTGCCAGACTCACCGAAAGGCACCACTTCGTTTTCAGGCTTGAAATATTACATTTTATAAAAGTCAAACATTAACCTCACCTGAGCATCTCCCAGCCTGATTAGCAGTGTAGTCTTTACCATAATAGACTCATTTATTCCCCCTGAAGCCAGAAACCAACCTTTACCTAAAGTCACAAGGTCTCAGCACTAAAAAGCTAAAATCAAGGATTCAAAATGCCATTTAAAAGGAATAATCTTGGACAAAGGGAATATAGGGAAGGATACAGAAACATATAAGGATACATACATGGATATATGAGATATATAGGATATAGGGGAGGTTCACCTCTTCTTTTTTCACAATACAATATTATATTCAAAGAGGTTAGGACACCTGCTACCTTACTGTTAAGGTATTCAAGGCATGCCCGATGAAAAAAAAGGCCCCCGGGCAGGCCCAGCACACACAGAGGGATTACATATCCCATCTGGCCTGAGAGCGCCTTAGGATCCTCCCAGGAGGAGCTGCAGGACGTGACTTGAGTGAAGGACATTGTGTCTACCTTTTGTTCGTATGCTGCCGGTGTAACCTGGATTGAAGTGCAGAAAATGGGCGGATGTTGCAACAAAAAGTAGTCGAAAATCATAATGCGTTAATAAAATATTCAAATGCTTCAACAGCTGTCGTCTTAGCTTGGGAATGTCTTTTGGGGAAACCATGAACATGACTGTTTCAATGCAAAGTAAAACTGTCAAGCTGTAGAAATCTCGGAGCGTATTCCTTTTATTTATTTTTTCACA